AAAAAAAAAAAAAAAAAAAAAAAAAAAAAAAAAAATGATATGCTATTATCAGATATATTTTTATGACTCACAATAAATAGCCTTACGTATATAATAAAATATTTATATAATTTTAATTTATTTTAACTATTTCCGAAAATACAAATTGATAAAAAATAAAAGTGCATACTTTTTAAAATGTTACTAAACGTTTTCCAGTTTACACAACTGAAAAAAATACGTGTAAAGTAATTCTAGCTGATAATTCAAAATTCAAAACGTGTTTGCAACTTAAAATTAAAAATAAAACAAAATAAAAATAAAAATGAATCATAAGGAACATACTTTGAAAGAAAATCTAGTTCACACATACATATATGACTCATATAATAAATATAAAAATATATATATTGGCCACATATCTACATACACATATGTATTATACTTAAATATTTACCTATAATTCATTTATGTACATAACCTATTCGAAATTTTATGACATATGATTAAGTTGCAGGCAAAACTTTAAACCAGATAGGAAATGGAGTACAGATTTAAGCCGCTGGAAGGCTTTTTTATGGCCCTTATAATATGCAAATGTCTGCTTGGGGGAAGGCTCAATGAGCACTTGGCCTGTTGACAGGGCTGAAATCCTTCAAAAATGTGCGTGCAAAATCTACGCGTATAAAATTTATTAACAAAGTCCCCCCTGAGGTGCGCTTCAGAATGAGCGAAAGAGAGCAAGAGAGAAAGAAAGAGAGAGATAGAGAGCTTGGGAGACACCAGAGACAGTACGCGGAAGGCTTTTCGTCGCCCTCGAGCCCCTCGGGATAGACGCAGTGCAGTAGCCGTGCGAGGGAGAGAGAGGGAGAAGACACCCTGTTAATGGAATTTCTATGTGTGTGTGTGGTCATATGTGTGTGAGGCCCTCGGAGGCTAGTAATTTGTGTCACGTTTTAATTTTTCACGCCGCAAAGGGCGCTCTGCAAAATATGGTAACTAACACATACATATACACATATACTTATGTATGTGTGAGTGTTTGTGTGTGTGTGCTGGACCTCCCCTCGCTGTGATTATGACAATTAAGATTGCGTGGAGCTCATGTCTACTTTTTGTTACTTTTTTTTTCACAGACCACAAAAGAGTTTAATGTTTAGCTGTATTTAAAAACTTGTTTCGTGTTCACGCGCAATTATTTTATATTTTTGTTATATGTACTTTAATCCTTACGCCGTGCAGTTTTTAAATCTAAGAATTAATAAGGCATGGAACAAGCGGATGTAGACGAGTAGAGGGTGCAAAATATAGTTGAGAAATGAAAGCAAAATGTATACAATAAATAGATCTTCTACTTGTATGCAATACTTTAATATTATGAATTTTTACTCTTATATGAGTATGCATCCATGAAGACTCCCTTTATTGTTGTTAATGCCCTATCCTTGTCTATTTATCTTTTTATTAGTGTATTCTCAAGACTCTTGTGATTTCCTACTACAAATTACAGGAACCAGAACATTTGCTTAACTATAGACAGCAATTTTATATATATACATGTGTAGGCATATGTATGTATCATATACATATAGAGCATATGTATTCAATTCCACTGCACTTAAAACATGCAATGTCTGTAAGTAACAAGTAAAGAGACACGCTCAAAAGCAGATTGTTTGCTTGGCTTGCCACAAAAGATAACAGCAAAGTACATCCCAGGACATCGTTTAAGTTATTTGAGATGTTTTTCACTCAAACATCCTTGCGGCCAAAGTCCGAGTTCTGTCAACTGCCAGCTAAATGTCCATAAGGAACACTACAGCAGAAACTAAACTGACAAAAATATCTGCAGGCGACTTTCCGCTTCTATTTGGCAACTGCCAAAGCAGAGCTCAGGAATTCTTTTTCCTGTGTGAAATGCAGAGAAAACATTAAACTAGCCTTTAAATGTATACTATATGGAATATATAAAATAATATTTATTGTATTTTTGAGCGTAGTAAAAAGATTGTTACTAGAAAATAAACAGATCGGCTAAAAAAAAAAATATTAAAGTAAAGGGAATTTTATTTTGCTGCTATGAACCTTAACTAATTTCAAAATAAATATATGTATATGGTTTGTATTGCTTTATTAACCCTTTTATATGTAAAATCATATATTGAACTGTTCTTCAATGATTTTATATAAAATACTATTCCATAGCTTTAAAATAATACAAATTTCTTTACAATTCTCCCACTCATACTCATGGATCTTTGAAATTGAAATTTGCAAAATACCTTAGAATATATTGTAGACTATAGTTCAATTTCAATCTTTTCTACCACTACCACCGCTAATTTGATCAATAATTAGTGTATTAATACGTATCTATATTATTATTATTATTTTTATCGCTAACCGAGCTAAGTATTAAATGCATCACAGTTTGGCATGCACTGGCTTCGTCGTCATGCGAAACTCTCTGTC